TGTATTTTTCGACGCACCATAAGAAAATCATGCACCACGTGGTTATAAAGGGTGCCCTTTGAAGATGGCCTGACTGAAATTCCGTTGAACCAATGACGCAAAAACAAAGAAAATATACGTGGTTAATATTTTTAGTCTAGCTGAAAAATGTTTACCTTTTTTTGGAGAAAAATTGTACAGAGTACCGCAGACCTGGTTCAACTTCAAAATTTCCCTGTACATCTGATAGATCATTTTAAAGGATTTTTCACGCTGAAAACAATAGTGCAATCGGATTTAAATTGGTCAAAAAAAAAAAAAAGATAAAAAGTTTTACAAAACGCATTTCGTTTGTTTCGTTGTTAATTCCAATAATTTGCTTCTTCACTAAAGCAAATGTTAATTGTCTTTATTGTTTACGTTCTGTCATTGCTTGTCGAACTCGCTTTAGGAGAGTAGATCTTAATTCCTCGAAGTAAATAAATAGTACCTATTCGTCACATTCAGTATTCTATTCAAAATGAACCGAAGAGGATTTTTTCCGATCAACAGGGAGTTGATATGTACGTCTGTTTACTGATAGTGGTGTATTGCGCGTGGTGCAGTCCGACTTGTACTCCCAGAAATTTCCTGATCGCCCCAGAGAAAACCATAAAATGTTCATTCGTCTTGCCTGCAATATAAGAAGGTACGGATCAGTTGCTCGTCCATCACCAAGAAACAGGCAGCGTTGTTTCGACGAGGAGCTGAATATTTTACTGTGTTAAATCCATTATGTTTAGTGGCCTGATTGTCCAAATTTCTGCTTTCAATGAATTATTCTTTTTATGTAAGGTCTTGGTTGAAATGAAAACGCTAGTGTTACGGGGGAGGGGGATCGAATCCAGCCGAAGGTCGTGGGTTCGAATCCCGCTCGTGACACTAGTGTTTTCATTTCAACCAAGTCCTTACATAAAAAGAATAAATTTACTGTATGTTCTCTCCGAAATGTTGGAAGTGTTTTAGGTTTTTCAAAAAATAAAATTAGAGATTTACTCCAGACTTACAATTTTAAGCCTCATCTTGTCCAGGGACTTCGGGACTCTGATTATGACAGGCGTCTAACGTTACTTCCACAAATGTCGATTTAGGATGCTGAAGAAAACGTTCGTACATACATCTAATGGACTGACGAATCCGAGTTAACAGCCTTGTAATTTTCGAATGTGGGAAAATCCGAGAATTTCGTACAGTATCAACATTTGGTGTGGAATTCTCGGAAATAAATTAATCGGGCCTTATTTCTACGAAAATAATTTAAATGGTGCTCAGTTCCTCAATTATTGAGGAAGGTTTTACCAACACTATTAGATGATATTCCTCTGCAATAACGACAAAGAACGATTATCCAGCTTGATGGATGCCCCGCAGGTGAAACGTTTGAATAGTCACTTCCGGGATAGGTGGACCATATGGCCTGATCTGTTGGCCTCTCGTCACAAGATTTAACTACACTTAACTATTTTCTGGAGGAACATTTAAAAACAGTGTCTACCCCAATCATAACACAGCACCCTCAGTTGAAGAACTGCGACAAAGGATAGAAAATGCTTCTCAATCCATCTCCCCTGAATTTATCGCTCTGAGCACCGGTGCATAGTGGTTAAAAAGAGCAAATCTTAGTCTCTTTACGCAAGGCAGGCAGTTCGAACATGAAACTTGATTAATAATTAGCAAACCAAATGAGTGTGTTTTTTGCCATAACTTTGTCATTTTTTTACCAATTTAAAATCCGATTGCACCCTTGTTTTCAGCGTAAAAAAAATTCTTTAAAATGATGTGTCGGGATGTATAGGGTCCTATATGAAATTTTGAACTGGGCCTGTTGTACCCTGTATAATTTTTCTCCAAGAAAGGTACAAATTTGAAACGACTAAAAAATATAAAGCAGGTATTTTTTATATCACCCTTGGTTCAAGAGAAATTCAAGGAGACAAGGACACCCGGTATATGGTGTGGTGGAATTTTCGTATTTTTCTAATAAAAAATATACATTTTTTTTTCCCTATGGTGTGTACAAAAACGCACCAACCTTACATTCAAATATACAGGGCGAGTCATTTTTTGACGCACCATTGGAAAATCAACGCGGGTGCGTTTAAATCTGACTCGAGGCTTATTTCCTTTGATTAATACGTTAATAAAAGAAAGTGAGTCAGTTTTCGGTGCACCATTGGAAAATCAACGTTGGTGCGTCTAATCATGACTCGGCACATTTTATTTTGTTAGACTCGTACCAAAAAATAGGCGAGTCACTTTTCGACGCACCATTCGTTACAAATTAATTTTAGTAGGTTGGAAGGAAAATAAACAAAACCAATATTATTAAAACATTATTCAAACACAATGTAAAAATTAAAAAAATTCTTCACAAATTAATTTGATTAAGGTTTCAGAGTATTTTTTTCTGGTAAAGTAAAAAAATTAAATAAATATAACAATCCCCTTTTTTTCTGGTAAAGTAAAAAAAATTAAATAAATGTAACAATCTCCTTTGTTAGCAAATCAAAAATGTTCAAAATCATTATAATAATTGTTCGAACAGACCTCCATTTGCTGCAACACAGTAGCCTAGTCTATCGTAAAACGATGATCGGACGAAAAAAAATACTCTTAAACCTTAATCAGATTAATTTGTGAAGAATTTTTTTTAAATTTTTACATTGTGTTTGAATAATGTTTTAATAATATTGGTTTTGTTTATTTTCCTTCCAATCAAAACTAATTTGTAACGAATGGTGCGTCGAAAAGTGGTGACTCGCCTATTTTTTGGTACGAGACTAACAAAATAAAATGTACCGAGTCATAATTAGACGCACCAACCTTGATTTTCCTATGGTGCACCGAAAATTGACTCACTTTCTTTTATTAACGTATTAATCAAAGGAAATAAGCCTCGAGTCAGATTTAAACGCACCCGCGTTGATTTTCCAATGGTGCGTCAAAAAATGACTCACCCTGTATTCGGGTGTGTGAGAAAAAAAAACACAGACGACACTGTTTTTCCCTCCACTCACTTGTTAGGGGTAACTCTGTGTTCAACACTGATTACTTGATGTTGGGGGTTTTACATAGTTTCGTGATTAGTTCTCATACAGTCCGACTAAGTTAGAGTAGTGCTTTCAAGTGTCCAATATAAATAGCAACTACAAAAGCCAATTTAGCTGGAGAACTGTTGACACTGTTTTTCCCTCCATTCACTTGTTAGGGTAACACTGTGGTCAGCATTGATTACAGGATGTTGGGGTTTTTACATAGTTTCGTGATTAGTTCTCATACAGTTCGACTAAGAGTAGTGCTTTCAAGTGTTTTTCCATTGTAAGTAGAAACTACAAAAGCCAATTTAGCTGTAGAACCGTTGACACTGTTTTTCCCTGTTCCCTTTTTTGGGTAACACCGATTCCCGGATATGAGATCGTTCCTTAGTCTGGTGCTTAGTTTTTATTTAGTTCAGTCTTCCTAAAAGTAGTACGTTAAAATAAATAGTAAAACACGACGTTACACAGATACAATAACAGCAACCCAACATAGTCCAATATATAGGTCACCGGCAGACCTTAAGATGAAATCTGTCAATTTTAAATTCCTTGTTGAGCTCTCGATACGGTCTACGTTCGAGGACAATAACCAAGAAAATTCCACCTTTACCACTCCGTTTCCCTTACAATAAACTGGATGAAGTCTAAAAGTAAGGTTTGGACTGATGCCCTCCTTTATGTAATCTAAACGTTCCTTTTGTATTTGAATTTGAATAAATAATTTTTTTAAAGCCCAGAGCGACGGTTAATCGTTAAGCTGGGAGATAAAATCCGATGATTGCGGATTTATTAATTAAAAGTCAAGGTGAGGGAGGCGAATATTTACCGGCGGATGGTCCGTTATAGGCCAATTATACGAGATATGCGTTTCAGGAGGAGCGAATTGCTACAACGGGAGCTGTTAATTGAACAGACACGAGTGGGAATGAATAGAGGTGCATAGAAAAAGAAGAGGCGGTGTTTAACCCACAACGAGTTCGTGTGATTTATTTTCCCATTTTCATTAACGCCGGCGGGCGGGGGTTTAAAACATTACGTGATTACCCTGCAAATCCTAATTGTCAGCTCGGCATCACATCAGCGGTTTTCGGAATGTTTCAAAGTCCTGCCATCGCCATATTTTTGATCATTTATATTCGCCCTTCTGTCACACTAAGCCGTTTTAGATGTTTGTCGATGTACCCCAAGCGATTTTAACCCCTGTTGCGCTCAGTTTAACAAAAGGGAAAACATGTAATTTTATTCCGACATAAACTTATTTTTAAAACTATAATCGGGGCCAGGGCAGAATTATTCACCTTCGGGGCAAACTTGGATCAGTCGAATTTTAGTAAAATCTGTCCACATTCCAATAAGCCTTTAGGCCTGGCAGAATGCGTATAATTAATAAAGTCGAAAAAGAAACCTTCTCAAAAGACAGAAGAAGGATGAGGAAAAAAGTCGCACGTGGTAAGTAGGGTGGAATGTGTGGAGATATAAAAGGCATGTCGATCTAGGAGGCACGGTTAACATCAACGGAGAAGGTTATAATTTGATAATTAATGACCAATGAATAAAACTATAATAGTTATTTAATTAGTTGTATTTAATAAATTCACATTGTACCAATATATTACATGTTATAAACAACTTTATTAAGTGAATTCACTAATTTCGTGGTCCGCTTGACCAATTAATATATTACAATTAATTAAGGTTTTTAGTTGAGATAAAAAAGTCAATGGCACGAGCGGGATTCGAATATGTCAATGGCAAAAAGGAGGGAAAATTCAAAAGATACGGTTGAGATGGGAAGTTGGTGTCCGAGTGGATCGAGGTCACGTTAGCTCAAGTGGTAGAGCAGCGGAGTATCAAGCCGAAGATCGTGGGTTCGAATCCTGCTCATGCAATTGACTTTTTTATCTCAACTAAAAACCTTAATTAATTGTAATTTATTAAGTGATTTAGAAGGTATCGGTGGCAAACACCTGAAAAGGTTAAAATATGTTTACTAAACAAACAACCTCATAAAATAGTACATCTCTATGCCTAACAGACTGTATAATTGATAAAGCCGAGAAGGACACCTTCTCATAAGACAAGAGAAGAAGATGGAAAAAGTTGAGAAGTAGAATGTGTTGTGAGGTCTGGAAGACAACATAATAAAAGTGTATTAATTATCATTGCATCTATATATTAAATTTTAGTAAATAAACTTACTAAGGGGAGGTGAAGTGGTGGCTACAATGCGACGTGAGTTCTCTCAGTGTAGAAAACATGACGATCTAGGAGGCACGGTTACAAACAACTGGGAACATTATAATTTGTTAATTAGTGACCAGTGAATTAAACTAATGTAGTATTAGAAACTAGGTGTACCAATTAACATTATACCCATGAATGTGAGGTACAGGGTGCCCTTTTCAATGGCTCGGCTGAATTTCTCTTTAACGAATGATGCTATAAAAAACAAATTTAAATAATAAAAAACGTCCTTGATATGTTTTAATCCAGTTTCAAATTTTTACCTTTTTTTTGGAGAAAAATTATACAGGGTACAACAGGCCCAGTTCAAGTTCAACATTTCAAATACGACCCTATGCATCCTGAAAAATATTTTAAACGATTTTTTACGTTGAAAACAATGGTGTAATCAGATTTTCAATTGGTCAAAAAATGACAAATGTATGACAAACAGTTAAAAGACTCGTTTGGTTTGTTATTTATTAATTATATTTCATGTTAGAACATTGCGTAAAGGTACAAAGATTTGCTCTTTTTAACCACTCAGATGCTTAGAGCGATAGATTCAGGGGAGATGAATTGACAAGCATTTTCTATCCTTTGTCGCAGTTCTTCAACTGAGGTTGCTGTGCTATGATTGGGGTAGGAACTATTTTTTTACTTGGCCCCGCAGAAAATTGTCAAGTGGGGTCAAATGTAGTGACCGAGGGGGCCAACAGACCAGACCATGAGGTCGTATCAACCTACCAAACAACGTCTCACCTGTGGGGCATCCATCAAGCTGGATAATCATTCTTTGTCGTTATTGCAGAGGAACATCATCTAATAGTGTTGGTAAAACCTTCCTCAAAAATTGACGAACCGAAAACATTTAAATTATTTTCGTAGAAATAAGACACGATTGATTTATTCTGTCAAGACCACACCAAACGTTGATAAGGTGAACCACCTGATGATGACAAAAGTTCGAAATTCTCGGATTTTCCTCTGCCCACGTTCGCAAATTACAACGGTTTTTTATGCCATTAGAGGTGAACTTGGATTCATCAGTCCATTGGATGTATGGAAGAACGTTTTCTTCAGCCTCCCAAATTGACATTTGTGCAAGGAACGTTAGACTCCTGTCATAATCAGAGTTCCGAAGTCCCTGGACAAGATGAGGCTTAAAATTGTAAGTCTGGAGTAAATCTCTAATTTTATTTTTTCAAAAACATAAAACACCTCCAACATTTCGGAGAGAACATACAGTAAAATATTCAGCTCCTCGTCGAAATAACGCTGCCGGTTTCTTGGTGATGGAAGAGCATCTGATCCGTATCTCCTCATATTGCAGTGTATTGTGGTTTACTTTGAGGCGATCAGGAAATTTCTATGAGTACTTGACTGCACCACGCGAAATACCACCAGTAACTATAAAGCTGTCGTGCATATCAACTCGCTTTTGATCGTAAAAATGTCCTCTTCGGTTCATTTTAAATGGAATACTTAATGTGACAAATAGGTACTATTGTAAAATTTATTTACTTCCAGGAATTAAGATCTACTCTCCTAAAGCGAGTTCAACAAACAACGACAGAATGTAAACAATAAAGACAATTAATATTTGCTTTAGTGAAGAAGCAAATTAGTGGAATTAACAACAGAACTAACGAAATGCGTTTTTCAAACTTTTAGCCTTAACTTTTTACTTTTTTTACTAATTTAAAATACGATTGCACCGTTGTTTTCAACTATATATATTTATTTCAACCAATACCTTTCATAAATATTAATTAATTGAAAAATGTTAATTGGTCAATCGGACCACGAACTTTAATGGATATTGTGTATGTGTATTAAAAACGCAACAGATGCAAATAACAGAAGCTATACATAATTGAGCTAATGGTGCTACTATAAAAATTACTGTAATTTGTCAAAACATTGATAATTGTCACTCCATGGTGTTTAAGTGTAGAAGTCAAATTGTGAATTACCTCGGGGCACGCAATTACACGGCATCAGTTTTAAAAGGTGCCGTTATTGGCATAAATCGAACGCCGACTGACCAACTGGACTTTATACTCTGTTAATAGCCCCCTATTCCGCAGATGGATCAGTTAAAATGTCGTTATTGCCCGATCGTATAAGCCGTGAAAGGTCTAATTTTGTTTCGATGCACTATCTAAGGATACGATCAACGACTGGTTTTAAAATTAAATTTAAATTCTTAATTGAATAACAGACCTTGATGTTATTTGAATGTTATAATAACTGAAATTTGCTAGTACTTGGAATTGCTAATTTATACGGTAAATAAAAGGCGGCTATAAAATCATGTTGTTGGATCGGGATCTTCACCTCACTCACCTCGTCACGTTTACCCTATTAGAAGACTCGTACCGCAAATGGAGAATCAAACTGAACGAAAGCAAATTTGTTCGGGTTTCACTAAGAATATCACTCAAACCTCCACTACGTCAGAATGAAATACTGATACCGACTGCTGACATACGACCATACCTGGGATTGCATATTGATAAAAGACTGACGTGAAATCCACTCGCCTGAAACGGCAAGACTGAACTGCGGATGCACACCTGAGACTGACTAGTCTTCTAAAAACCTCGCCTGAACCTTAACTACTAACTTATCCTTTACAAAACTCTCCTTCGCCGATATGGACCTAGGTAAGTTTGAGGCTCAACCAAGCGTTCCAATTCATCACTCATCAGCCTAGAGGTGTGTGTGTATCTATCTGCTGTCTGTCTGTGTATTTCTGTCTCTCTCTCTCTCTCTCTCTCTCTCTCTCACACATTCACATTCTATCTCTCACTTCACTCTCTTCCTCTCTCTCTCTCTCTCTCTCTCTCTCTCTCTGTCACTCGCACTCACACTCTCTCTTACTCACTCACTCAGATTCTTACCACATAATTTTTTATCAACCAAATATCTCGGAAATATTTCCACATTGTATTTTGATGTATGATCAGTATTACGGTCTCCTCCACGTAAATGTACAAAGTCTCCTTTACTTTTCTTCTCACGCCTGATGATTCTGTATGCAACACGTCAAATTCAAAATGAAAATTGTGCCCGGTGTTGTGACAACCCGGTTAACAATTTCGATCGATCTTTTACAATTATTACCATACACTCAATTTTTTGCCTTTGCATGGTCTGGCACATGTATTTGGCATGGCATCCCATACAGGATACTCTATAAATCACTTTTTCCTACATGTATTTGTAAAATTTAAACAATGTTTATAAATCCCAGGCCCTGAAGATGATCTCAATAAAGATCGAAACGTTGGCCCGATAAAGAAAATGTTTTTCTAAAACCTACGTCACACCAGACCGCATCTCACGATCTCCGAATAATCATTGATTAACGGTCACTAACCACCACACATTTCTATAAATAACGTTAGAAGTTTTACACAAATCATCTTTATCTTTTAACGTTGTGGAGAATCTATCTAGCTTATTCGAATATGTAAAACAAATATTTATATCAGGTGCATAGTTTTTTTTATGAGCACCCTCACTTTATTGCTAATATCAGGTACAAATCTTAAGCTTTTATAAATCCTCCTGTTTCTACACAGGACTCTCTTGAGGAGGGAATGCTTTGACTGGAAGATATTTTGGTTAAATTTTGATTAATTAGCTTTACAATCAAAGAATGAGGATAGCCATTAGACTTTGAAGATCTTTAGTGCTCTGTCTTTACCCTCTTACCAATATTGTCCATTAGACAGCGAAAGGATTATAAATATAAGATTGTTATCAAAGTTTAACTTAATTCCAAAAGAGTGAGAGGAATTGAAATTTAAACAAAAATAAATTGACATTCTATTTACTAGATGAAGAAGAATAACTAGACGAAACTGCAAAAAGCAGAATAATAATTTTTTTCGCGTGTTGCTTAAGTCGTGGGGCCTTCGTCATTTATCAGAGGTCCTCATTTTATCGCAGAAAGGCCGGTTTTATTGTTTTTCTTCTTGTACTTTCTGAGAGTGGTGTTTTCAGTAAATAACCAAAGATCGAAGGATAAACGGTTCCCAATCCGGCAGTTTCGGGCGGAAAACAGCCCACATTCACGAACTCGACATTTCCCCCACGGTTGTAATGACGTTGAATTTGAATAAAATCCAGAGTAGTTATGAATTTTTTAGTTACATAACACCGAACACCTGAGAAAAAAATTGTCACCTTGATAATCCAAGAATACATATATTTTGTATTGCAATAAATATATGTATTCGATAGTTCACCAGGTATGAGAATAGGGTAACCCTCATATGGATACCTGCTCATAAGGGGCACTATGGCAACGAGGAGGCGGACAGCCTGGCCAAGGAAGGATCAAATACTGCGTTTGTCGGGCCACAACCGGTATTACCCCACTCTTTAAGCACAGCAAAAGAGAGTATAAGTAGCTGGGGCATGAAACAATTCCTTAAGGAATGGAATATGTCCCCCGGATGCAGGCAATCGAAGGAGTTTCTGAAGGAAATCAAACCTAAAGAAACGAAATGGTTACTCTCTAACTCTAGGAGGGGAATAAGGAGGCTGATAGGTATCCTAACGGGCCATTGCCCCTTGAGAAGACACCTCTTCATAATGGGTACTCTACCAGGCCCCTTCTGCCGCTTCTGCGAAACAAAAGAAGAAACGGCTCGACACTACCTCGCAGAATGCGATAGGTATGCTAGGGAAAGATTTAATACTTTCGAAGGAGAGGACATAACCAAAACACTCCCCAGGATAAAATGGTCCACAATCCTGGGGTTTGTGAATAGGTCCAAAAGATTTATTAAACTTTTAACCCCTCGGGTCCTGGTCGCCCGCCCTGTGTAATATATATGTATTCGATAGTTAAAAAATTAGCTAAAAACGAATTCGATGCAAAAAAAACTACTTTACTTCCAGGGTCTTTTGGTTTTTGCAACGTTTTGTAAGTCTAAGCTCATTTAATATGACCCTGGCGTATTATTTTATTATCCTACGTCAAAAATCGACTAATAAGTAATAACTTTAAAATGATGCACAACAAAGGGGGAATACATATCAAAAATATATTTTTTATCCTGGGGCTCATAGGCAAGAAAGCTCGAACTACTGTCTAATACTTTTCGACCCAGTATCACCAAAAAAAGTTTCATTACAAATTTTTAATGGTTAAGCTACATCGAGTAAACAAAAAAACTGAATAAATTATTTGGGGGGGGGGGGTTTAAAGGTTTTAATGACCTTCTCAACATTATGCAAAAAAGCAATCAAATACCACTGCCGATCGCTATCACTACTAATTATTGAAAACTGAGAAAAGTAT